TTGTGCCAAATAAGGTATACTTCTTAACATCTAAGAACTGATTCTATTGTTAAGCATACAAAGCGGACTATGAAATAAATTCTTTCGCAAGATGGAATGTGCCATAATGAGGCATATAGAAAGTAAATTTAGGAGGGATGGAGAAAATGAAGAGAGCATTGTCTCCATTGAGATGAAGTGTTTGGGGAAGACTTTGTAGAGTTAGATTTGAAGATAGATGGACAGAACATGAGTTGGAGGACCGAAGACATTCAGAATGGAGAAATATGTGAGTATAGTTGGGAAGTTTTCTGGTTAGATTTTATTTTTAAGTTATCTGTACACCCGTGGGGCTTGAACTCACAACCCCGAGATCAAGATTTGCATGTTCTACTGACTGAACCAGCCAGACTCCTCAAGTATAGTTTGGAATTTTGGAATGAGTGTTCATGCTCAAGCTAATGTTAGCATGTCATGGGCAGTTGGGATGCGTTGGGCTAGACCACAAAGACTTTGCAGGTTGGGATTCGACAGCTGAAACACCCTTGCAGTAAGTATCCTCTTATTGTCTTGGGGAATCAGACAAATTTGCTGAAATTACAGCTTGGAAATTTGACCTACTTAGGGCATTGCTTGGAGCATTGGAGTTTCAAACAAGCCCTTCACTCTGAAGGAAGAATCTCTTGATACTCTTCATTTTCTCAAGGATGAAAAGAAATTAAAAGTAACACATGTGAAGATTTTACTTATGAGGCTAAGTTGAAGTAGAAGAATTGCCTCAAGAGAGAAAGAAAAAGGTGAAAGTAATTTCTCAAACTGAAATCTTTGGAGCAGTGTGTTGACAAGTTTGCTTTTTACCAAACTGTTGCATGAAAATCTAGTTGATCAGAGAGATACATTTGTGTGTAATAATCCTTCACATTAAAAAGGGTTTTCTGTAAGATTCCTTTGAAAGGAAATCCCTTTGTACATTTTAAATGTGCTTCGATGTAGTAACCTAAATGCAGATCAACCCACCAACAAACTAAAACAAACAAACAAACACCCCACCCACAAACAAAAGGCCTGACTTTTAAGGAAGGCTTTTAAGGAAATCATATCAACCAGTTCATAAAACTAGGCACAGAGTTATAGGTTGCTTCTACATTTTCGATTGAGTTAGATAATAATACCAATTATTATAAAGCATGAGTGAATTTATGATTTTAGGAATGTCTTACATGCTGAGGAAAACAGGTTCCAGAGTAATTTAGTTATTCTTGTAAAAAAAATCAGGTTTGAAATAACAGTGAGAATGGTAACTGACAAGCAAGTGCTTTAGGATGCGGCTCTGTGTGAGTCAGTCCATTTAGGAATCAACCTTTGGCTTGCAGTGTCTCCTTTTGAGTGAGTCTCTTTGTTTACCGCTCTGTTTTTCAGATTTTTCATAAAGAAGGAACTCTCATATCCTAGATCAGTGGTTCTCAAAGGGCAGTTCTCAGAAAAGCAGCATCCGCACAACATGAGAACTTGTTAGAAATGCAAATTCTTGGACCTCATTCGTCCCTGAAACACGAAGTCAGAAACTCCTGATGGGTCCCAGAGCCCTTGTGTTAACACTTTAGGTGATTCTGATACATGCTGAATTTGAGAACGACTGCCTTAACTTATTTTCTAAAATACATCGTCTTATGCTAGCACTTAAATACTTCTGGTTTCAATCAAAGGATGTTTTCTTGCTGCACAAGTAATTTCAAAGTTCTTTGCTTGTATGGTTCTGTGTGCTTCGCATTGTTCTCTGGTCTCATCCTTCCCATGACACCTGCTGTATCTTACTGCTCTTGCATTTACCCTCCTGCTTTATTTTCTACCCAGCTATGTGGGACGCTTCAGGTTACCTCCGCAGAGCGTGAGTGTAGGGATCTTCCTCTTTTTCTGATGGCAATTTGCCATTCAGGGAATTTAAAAAGAATCCACTATAAGTAGTGTTCTAGGTAGGTCAGATTGTTTGAAGTTTGATCATCAGATAAGTGAAATGATATTTATATATCACTTGAAATAAAAATTCTTTTTAGTTAGATAAAGACTGGTAAGTCTCATAATAATCTTTCTCAGTGATCATTTAATTTCAGTTGGCTTAAGACGCTATTTGTATTAAGTTAACAGGGTGCTAATTTAACATAGGTTTATGGTCATTTGAAGCCATTTTCATTCATTAAGAAAAATATCTCTCTAGATTAGATTATCTTAAGGGTTTGAATAGCAATAGGGATTCCTCTATGTAGGCCTGAGAATTTTCCAGATGAGTGCACACTGTTTCACCGCCCTCTTGAAAAGCATAGAATTCTTTTTACTATAGAGCAGGGCACTGACAGTGGTACCCAGCTTTGCCTTGGCAAAACAAAAACAAAAGCAAACACGTCCACACATTCTGCACTAGATTCATATGTTGTATCTATAATTTATCATGATTTATATAATTCCACTATATAGTTTAATTTCAGTATCCTGATTTATAATTTTTTTTTTCAAACATTTATTTATTTTTGGGACAGAGAGAGACAGAGCATGAACGGGGGAGGGGCAGAGAGAGAGGGAGACACAGAATCGGAAGCAGGCTCCAGGCTCTGAGCCATCAGCCCAGAGCCTGACGCGGGGCTCGAACTCACGGACCACGAGATCGTGACCTGGCTGAAGTCGGACGCTTAACCAACTGCGCCACCCAGGCGCCCCATGATTTATAATTTTTTAGAACATTTTGTAATTTTTTTCTAAGTAGGCGTCACACCCAGTGTGGAGCACAATGTAGGGCTTGAATTCACGACCCTGAGATCAAGACCTGAGCTGAGATCAAGAGTCAGGCCGTTAACCGACTGAGCCACCCGGGAGCCCCATTTGTTAGAACATTTTAGACATAGCCAGCATCCAAATTATTTTTTCTCTTGATTTTTGTTTTTAAAAAATAGTGTTGAAGATAACAAAATGTTTGTAGCCTGGCTGCATTCCATCCCAAAAAAGTACATGGTGAAAAAACATACATCCCCATTTAATTTCCTAAAAGGCATAAATTGCAGAGGACCTTAGAAAATTATTTAATTTCTTTTGAAGAGAACTGCTGTGTAATGTATATAGAACATGTCCTTCACAACTGTTTGATATACTCTCACCCCAGCAGCCGTTTCGAAGCAGTTGGAGACATGTGTCCTTGCTTTGTTCCTTCCTGGGTTTTGTATCTTGCAGTTCTGAATCCCCTAGTTTCCTTAGCTTCTCTGGATTTTACTCTCAGGGCTATCTAAGCACTTGGAGAGAATTTGCTTGCTGGATACCTGGAGTTCACCCACCCAAGTTTTGGCCTTGGAACTCTGTACCCTTAGCCCCTTGGGCAACAATTTTCATAAACCTCTATTCTAAGTGATTCTAACTAGTTCAACCTTTAGAACTAATGAAGGAAATGAGGAGGCCAAGAAAATGATAATGGACCAGTAGTAGCTAGACACAGTGGACTTTTCCATACATTGAATCTCTCCTAGCCTATCGAAAATATTTGCAAAGTTTTCAGTAGAAAGGGTTGTAGGATAATGAAATTCAAGTTTGTGTAATTTGCTTTATGGTAGGAGATATATGTGTGATTAATTGCAGAACTTTAACTGCATAACAGATTTGGTCACAGGTTCATTTAAGCTGAATTACCCTCAAGTAATCTTTTTTGCTTCAAATCTCAAAGTAAGAACTCCTCGCCATGTAGCAGAATGCTTGAATTGGTTCGGCTCCCTAAGCACCTCTTTTTGGGACTGGCAGTGCCCAAGTAGAGAAGAATCTTGACTTACCAGAGAGGTTGGGAGATAGAAGTTATGGAGTTAAGCTCTGCAGGAGGGTATTATATTGCTCCTTTTCCTTTCCAACACTCTTAGGTTTTATATAATGTAAATCTATTTCTGAAATTCAGCAAAGTGTCATTAATATATGATGCTTCTAGCAACCTTTCTGACGATTGAAGGCAGAACAGTACATTCCCTTAAGGAAATGAAAGCTTCTGAGTGGGTTTCTGACTGCCAAGGAGATGTGTTTCCAAAGTTTCCAGAGTCTGTAGGGCCGAAATAATTCTTAAAATTAATCTGAATTGGAGAGTTATGAAAGATAAGCAAACACTACAGTATTATATAAGGCACACAAATTAGGTTCAGAATTTAACTCTTCTGCAGATTTTGATTTTTTCAGCTTAATTCCTGATTTACCAATTTAATACTTACCTAGGTATTACCCACTGAATAATCTGGGTTATGACCCAAAAATTGTCTCCATTTTGTGGCAGAATGGTAATTAACTTATCTCTAATTCTGAAAGCTATTGTGAACAGAAAAATCTTGAGAGGACAGGTACACAGTGCCCTAGTTTCTAAGAAAAAAAAAAAAAAAAGAATAGTTAAGAGCCCCTGAACTGACATACCTGGGTTCAAATGCATATTTTCTAACCATATAACTGTGACTGGATTTGATTTAACTTGAATATATGTCTTTTTTTTTTTTTAACTTCATATAGTTATAGACACCTGGACAGCTATAGCTTGTGGACCAAATCCAGTTTGCCTCCTTTTTTGTTTTTTGGAAAATAAAGTTTTATTGGAACTCAGCTATTTGTTTACATACATATTGTCTATGGCTTCTTTCATACTACAAGGCGGAACTGAGTAACTGTTACAGAGACCACATGGTCCACAAAGCCTAAAATATTACTACCTGGCCCCACACAGAAAAAGTTTGTCACCTCCCACCAAAGACTGTAGTTTATTGATTTTTTTTTTAAATTTTTTTCAACGTTTATTAATTTTTGGGACAGAGAGAGACAGAGCATGAACGGGGGAGGGGCAGAGAGAGAGGGAGACACAGAATCGGAAACAGGCTCCAGGCTCTGAGCCATCAGCCCAGAGCCCGACACGGGGCTCAAACTCACGGACCGTGAGATCATGACCTGGCTGAAGTCGGACGCTTAACCGACTGCGCCACCCAGGCGCCCCTGTAGTTTATTGATTTTATGAGCCCATTGTTTGCCCTTCTTGAATGAGGTAGGTTTATGGAATTGGAGAAAATGTGGTCTCATCTGGTAGAGAAAAGAAATACTACCTTGGTAGTTATAATTTGAATTCTCATTGCCTTTCTATCACTTCTCTCTGTTGTTAACTTGGAAGGTCACATCACTGCTCTGATTCTTGGTGTCGTCATCTGTAACAAAAGGAAGTTGGTCTGTATGGTTCCCCGGTTCTTTCTTTCTTACCTTTCTATCAGTTAGAATTGTTCCTAGCTGTACTCAAAGAATACAGCTTTCCCTAACTATTCCTGCCCAAAATAACTTCTTCCTCTGAACTCTATAACATTGGTATATAGTTGCATATTGTATTGGAGTGTCTGTTTAATTTATATTATACAGTTACTTGTTCTTGTTTATTATTTTAAGTTCTAAGTTCCCTGAGAGTAGGAACTATATATTCTTCCTCTCCATATTCCTAACAGGTGTGTTAGAAGAGGACACTAAGTAATTGTTATCTTTTTTTTTTTTTTTTGTATTATGGAACTTTCAGGACATATAAACAATTGTCCCACATGTTCTAAAAGGATCTGGATCTAGTGGTTTTGCACTTACATAAAAGTAGTGAATGCTTTATTAGGGAAAGTTGTTGAGTTGAGACAGATTTACATGGATAGAGACAGGAAGTGGACTGACCTAGATATTTGTCCTAAGAGGAGCAGTTAGAGGATACAGTGAATTGGTTATCCTGCCCAGGTAGGAAAGAATTATAAGAACAGTTGTGGGAGATGATACGTCCGTATTGGAGATCTAAAATTTATATCCCTAATCCAGACTCTAATACACAGTTCTCATTATACTGGTGTAAGTGAAAATACTGGAGAATGCTTTATGTACTATAGTGTACAAGGGGAATCCAGTGTCTTAGCACCAGATTTTTTTTTGTTAATATTTATTGATTTTCTACAATGGACTTCAGAGTTTATTAAGATAATACAAAATGGGGCACCTGGGAGGCTCAGTCAGTTAAGTGTCCAGCTCTTGATTTCAGTTCAGGTCATGATCTCATGGTCATGACCCATGCAGGGCTCCATGTCAGGCATAGAGCTTGCTTAAGATGATATCTTTCCCTCTCCCTCTGCCCCTCCCCTGATCTCAAAAGAAAGAAAGAAAGAAAGAAAGAAAGAAAGAAAGAAAGAAAGAAAGAAAGAAAAAGAAAATGCAAAAGATGCGGCCTTTTCTCTCATCCCATATGATGAGACCAAGACGGACAGTCATCCAACCTACCTTCTTTCCTGGTTATTTGGTTTGTAGGGATTTAACCTTTGGAAGAATGTTTGGATAAGGTGTGCTTATACAGCTGTTATTACCTTACTTCTCATTGATATTTAAAGTAAGTAATGTCATTTTATTGCTATTGCAGTGTCTTTGTTCTCTGATTTAGAGATTGTGACAGTTTAGTTAGTTGTTAGAAATAAGTATAACTTATCATGCAAAGACATATCATGGCTAAAGCATTGGCACGGAAAGGTGGTAGTTATTTCAACTAGATCCAACATCAAGAGCCAAACTTATTTAATGGGAAACTTTGAAACAATATCAGAAAGACTTACCTCCCTTGGTTGGTCTTCAGTGTGTACATTAATGTGGTGAGAACAACGTAGTATCCACGGCAAGGGGCTGCCTGCCCATGCACCATATGGTTTCCATTATATTCTATTATATTAAGCTTAAAAAAAAAAAAAAAAAAAAAAGAAGAGGCACCTCAGACCAATGAGTAATTTCTAAATAGAATTTCAACTTGTTTTGAAAATACAGAAGAACACACAAAACTGTTTATCATTTTCAAGAACATCAAGCATTGGCATAATTTGTTTACTTCACTGTCTCACAAATGATAAAATATGTTTTAAAAAGGAAAGGAATTCATGATCACAGCAGATTCTGATTCAACAATGACCCAAAATAATAAAGGAGGACTGTACATTTTACTTAATTAAAAAAATTTGTTAAAAAATGTTTATTTATTTTTGAGACAGAGAGAGACAGAGCATGAGCAGGGGAGGGTCAGAGACAGAGAGGGAGACACAGAATCTGAAGCAGGCTCCGGGCTCTGAGCTGTCAGCACAGAGCCCAATGTGGGGCTCGAACTCACAAGCCATAGATCATGACCTGAGCCAAAGTTGGACACCCAACCAACCGAGCCACCCAGGCGCCCCGCTCATTTTTAATTGTTTGTTAGGTTCATGCAAGTTTCTAGATATGATATGGGGCACATAGAAGAAATCAGCCTAGGCTCCGAAAAATCTGGGTTTATCCCATGGTACATGAAAATAACACTGTATAAAATGTACTCATGAAGTCTATTACCATATCTACCCACCCTCGTCCAATGTGGATATCATTCAAAAGACAAGTATGTATGCCTGTGCATGTGTGTCATTGTGTTTATTGTAACAGTTCTTCTTAAGGTTTTTCATTAAAATTACTTCTTAATGGAAGAATTGCTGACTGTTTAAAACATTTCTTGAAAGTTTAAAGGAAGCTTCTACCTACAAATCTTGTAAGTATTAAAGAATGATAAGAGCTTTTTGGTTGGAAAATGTTTGGGTTAAGTGCAAGGTGTCATTCCTTTTGGTTTAGAGGATTGAGGACAGTATGGACTGAAATAAACTTGCTGTTTCATTTGTATACTGGATTAAAAAAATCTTTGTCTAGAATTTAAGGATGCTAGGGATAATTGTCTAGAATTTAGGGAAGCTAGGGGTAATTGAATTAATTGAACATTCAATTAAAAATCTCATGCCAGTTAGAAAATGTCTTAGCAATTATTCAAATAAGAATCCAAACCAGTTTATATGATATGACTGTGGTTGAATAGGACAAAGAAAAAGTGCAGGAAAAACAACATCTTATGATATAATATACCAACACACAGAATTAATTTTCCATTTGACTTCTAAAGATGGAGAATGGCAATTAAAATAGCAAAGTAAATACATAAGTGCATCATTTATAAATAAGAAGACAGAGGTAGAGGGCGTTTAGGAATTATTTTTATTTTTTATTTTTTTTAATTTTTTTTTTCAACCTTTATTTATTTTTGGGACAGAGAGAGACAGAGCATGAACGGGGGAGGGGCAGAGAGAGAGGGAGACACAGAATCGGAAACAGGCTCCAGGCTCTGAGCCATCAGCCCAGAGCCCGACGCGGGGCTCGAACTCACGGACCGCGAGATCGTGACCTGGCTAAAGTCGGACGCTTAACCGACTGCGCCACCCAGGCGCCCCAGGAATTATTGAATAACATTTTATAAAACAGACTGTCTTTGAGATGAGATGTGAAAAAATTTAGTGAACTCTCCTTCTGTGGATCAGATTGATGATTATCCATTTTAGGATCAGAGGCCAAATTCTAGGCCACAAAGGCAGATTGGAAGGACACACTTCCTTTGCCTCCTCTTTTTCTCTCTTCTACTCTGATTTCCTCTTCATCTTTCCTGTCCCTCCATGGAGATTGAAAGAAGCCAGAGGAAGATTATTGTTCTCTCATCCTCCTCCACCCGGCCACTGCCATCCAGCTACGGTGAGTGACAGGACTCTATTTTCCAACCTTTGGAGGAACCACCCGGGCCCTGCCTATCATAGCAGTGAAAATCAGTTTTCCACCATCCGTTCTTTAGCTGATGGAAAAACAAAATCATTGAGTCATAAAACTCATCTGGATTTCAAATTCATCTTTGAGAAAAAGTAAACTGTTGTTCTTGGATGAGCCCCAGGGACTGCTGCTTAATTTCTCAGTTCATTTTCCCCTCTTAGCTTATGTATGTATACGGGTCCCTCTATAGTTCCCTTATGAAAATGTGCATTTTTAATACCACAAAAGGAGGAAAAAAAACCATTTTTTGTAAATATTCTTTCAGTAAAATTGCAATCAATGTAGTCAGAGCTAACAAGCAGATGGATGTATTTGAATGCCATTATCTTGTGTACAACGATATTATCTGTTTCATGAAAAATTCAGTAGTTTGGGCTGCTTTAGTGAAGGGAAGATGGAAGTAAAAAAATAGCAAGAAAAACATGATCAGACTCAGAATCCCTGAGGGGGTCCCATTGCATCATTTAGCAGGAGAATGAGCAATGCCGGAGAAGCATGATGGTAGAGGCACTGTCTGTGTTCCTTATGGCATTCTTGGCTTCAGGTCCCATTTGAGCCCCACAGCTGTAGGTGGGAGCTCCTGGGCCTGCTAAAGCATCACACCGTGACATTTTTATCATCCGTCTAAGAGAAGAAAATAAATTTGCTAACAGAATAGAGCTGGCAGGCTCATACTACCTTGTCACATTCCAGACATCTCTTGGTCTGGCCTGAGCCAGAGGAAACCTAAGGGTGGGCCAGAAAATCTGTGATGGACATGAAGTAGACTTAACTAGTCTGGAGAAGAATGTGGGTTTTTTGAGAAAGGACTAGGTATTTTTGTTTTTTTTTTTATTGGAGATTTGATAAATGGAAATACTTGAGCTGCCAGGGGGATAGGACCTCAGTTTTATTCTCTATAGGCCAAGAATATATTGACGTGGGCAAAATGGCATAGGAATTTGTGCTGATTTTTTAAGATAATGCACATAGTGAGGAAAAAGAATCCAAGCAAGCCCTGTATATACACACAAAAATCGCAAAGTTTTCTATCATCTGACGTGGGAATACGAACTCCTTAGCAACCTCATACAAGGTGACATCGACTTATTTCTCCAAATTGGCCTATTTCTTTCTTCACTGAATAAATTCTGTGCCATAACACCCCCCCCCCCCCCCCACACACACCTCCTCTTTGTTTGGCTTGGAATATCCTATCCTAATATCTTAGAGCTTTTTGAAATCTTATCCTTCCAAAAAATGTACTTTAAGTTTTATTATTTTAGTGAAGGCTACCTGGGTGGCTGATTTTCTTTCCTGAATATCTATTAAGTGTGGTTTGTACCATGCATTTTTCACAAGGTAGGCCTTCTCTTGGATTGTTGCTCATGACATCTTCATGTCAGCAATTGGACTTTGAGTCATTTGAGGTTAATCTTTGTGACTCCAACATCTAACAAACTTCTCTAAACACATTAGGCAGCCAGAAAGTATAAGATCAAGACTGGCATAATTCATGTTTTTGCAATTAAATTGTATGAATGATGGCATTGGATTATTATAGAGAATGCAAATTAATGAGGTGTTATTATCACAAGATTTCATGTAAATAGTTTTCCTTCTCTTAATAAGACGAAACTTTAAAAACTTTGCTTTTGTTAACGTCTCTGGGTTATCTCAGTAAAGAAAGATAGTGATGTGAATTAACTTTTTCAGGAAAAATAGTGTAAGACTACCAGCTTGATGCAAGTATCCTCAGAAAAAATTTCAAGAAGCATAGATCATATATATGTCAAATATACACATATAAACACACACATATGACTATAACATAGCACATGATAATTAAGACAGTAGTACTTAAATACATTTCTTCTACTGTAGTAAAACCAGGGGCATTGTATGAATTAAGTTTTCTCTGGGGGAAAATTGTTTCACATTGGATCTTGGAGAACTGGGGGTAGATCTTGGAGATATGAGACTGGGCTGGGAGAATATTCATGACCTTTTCCAGTAGACAGATATTTATTTCCATTATATAGATTCCACAGTCTTAATTTTCTTCTTGACTTCTTCTATGTACTCCTTTTCCTGTGTCTTTTCTTTTTCCTTCCAGTCTTGAGATTTTCCTCACTTTGATCCATCTCATTCTATTCTTTTTTTCATCTTCTGTTCCTCTCTTAGCCAGTAATGACCATAAAATTTCATTGGACATAGTTATTTAACACTTTTATTAAAATAATATGTAATTTTAAAATCACTCTGCTAATATTACATCCTTACCTTTTTATATGCTACATTAAAATTATAGTCTTTTTATCTACATACTTCACTAGTAGTGAAATTAACATGATTTTCATTCATTCTAATATTAAAATACTTTGAATAAAGTACATTTTAATTTTTTTTACTTCTAAATGATGCATCATGAGAAGTGATGAAACAAAGGATTTTTCTTCATGATGAAAAACGTGACCATTTCTATTAAAAAATTTCCCTCTCTTGTGAGGAAGAAGTGAGGCAGGTAGTTAGATACTTTATAGAGATGTGTTTTACAATTTGTAAGTGGACAAAAATACTATATTTAAATTCATGTAAAAATCTAATAGAAATTACCTGAAGAGTGAAATAGCAGAGGATAGAGTTTTTTGTTTGTTTTTCTGGGTTTTTTTTTTTTTTTTGGTAGGATACTAACTGAGTATGCAATTTATGTTAAATTCTAGCAAATGAAAAACACTAGACAAATCACTTTAAACTGTGTAAGTCAATGGGTTCTTTTATAAAGAAAGTGCACATTTTATATTTATTGAGTATAGATAACTTGAATATAATGGCAGAAGTATCTGTGAGCCAATGTGGGATATAAGGTATTTAATATTTGTTTTCTGATTTACTGTCTTGGAAATATGTTAGGGACTATGTCTTTAAGTTTGACCTGGTGTATTGCATATAGTACAGAGTAAAAATGCTTGCAAGGTATTCTTGGCTGGAGGTTGGAAATCTTCAGATTTAATGAGATTTATATTAAGAACTGTGGCCAGTTGTTGCAGTGACAGTAAGTGACACCTGAGTATAAGACCCACAGAAATGTCATCATATTTGTTGGTGCAAATTTTAAAGAAATCTACTCTTGTGGTCATCATGACTGGTGGTGAGAATGAGTTCTGGCTGAGAAAGCAGTGTCTGTGTCATAGTTTTTGTTGTACCCAGAGCTCCAAATACAGGAGAAGCCTTTATTAAATGCTGTTTTTAGGAGATAGGAGCTTTAAAAATAAAAATGGGCTGCTTGCTCCCACTCTGTGAAATGTTTCCTGTACTCTAAAATAATTGAGGGTAACATTATTGTGGTTTTTTTTGAGAGTAACTTTAGACCTTGAATCAAGAACATCATGTAAGTATGTTATTTTAAATTCTCTATTACTATATAATAAATTGAGGAGACTATATTGGCACCGACTTGCCCCTCATTTAGCTCTCAAAATGACAGCTTTCACTCTATCAACTTGTAAGCATTGTTATTCTGCCTATCCCCATGATTATGAACAAATTAAAATTCAAGATCGAAATATTGGTATCAGTTGAGAAAGCTGCCAAGTCTTTAAGAAGACCGTATCTTTTATGATAAAGTCAGAATTTATTCTTTGGAGCAAAAAAATGGCAGGTATACATTCCTAATTTGGTCTGATTTCACTGTTTTCTAGAGGCTCGAGGAAGGTTAGAAGGGAAGTTATGGGATTAAAAAAAATATTTAATCTAAGTTGTAAAGGAGCTTGGAACCACACCACAAGCATCATAATTAACTTTAATAATTATAAATGTAAATGCAGACAAGCCACAAGGTTTTAATGGTGTGCCACATGCTTCTGCTAATTATTTTAGAGTTTGGACACATTCAGTGCCAGCTAATTATAAACCCTGCTATGGAAATCATCTGTTTATATTAGACTTATTGATCTCTAGTGTTTAAGCAATATGAAAAGGGAAATCTACAATGCTGGACCATCTGCTTTGTATTCCTAATTGCTTTTAAGGAATCAAATATATAAATAGTCAGCTTTTTATATATTGGGCTTCAAACTCTTTCAAGAAACATATTGTGCAAACCCAAGTGAATTTAAAAAAAAAGCCTATTTAGAATGTTTCTTCCCTGGCTCCTCTCAAGGACCCTCCACCCCCTTACCCTCAAAATACCCTCCTCTGACCTTTTTGCAAGATCTTGAAAGCATATTTTCTCCCAGATCTCACAGACTGGTCAAGGTAGCTGAGACTTCAGATATTTACCCTGTTTTAATTATATCTTTTCATTTCCTCCCTAAGAAGGAGCCCTTTTCCCAATCTGTCCCCACCTCCTTATGGTCTTGAATATTTATTGCCATTTCACACTATGGGGAAGATGGCAAGGAATGAATGTCCAGGCAAATGGTTCCATCTTGTAGGAGATGTTTAACTTTATGGCAAATTAAATCTACTGGTGTGTGGAATAGATGCCAGTTAGTAGGACCAGACAGCATTACCTCTCATCACTAACAAGTCTGGCGGGCAAGTCTTTTCTCCACTTTGAGTCTTGTGGGCCGCCTGAGTGGCTCAGTCGGTTAAGCGTCGGACTTCGGCTCAGGTCATGATCTTGTGATCAGGGAGTCAGAGCCCTGCATTGGGTTCTGTTCTGACAGCTCAGAGCCTGGAGTCTGCTTCAGATTCTGTGTCTCCCTCTCTCTCTGACCCTCCCCTGCTTACACTCTATGTCTCTCTCAAAGACAAATAATCATTTAAAAAATTTAATTTTGAGTCTTGTGATTCTACAGGGAGGTTGGGTTTAAATGAAGAAAGAATTGACTTCTTAGAATGGGGTTGTTTGCTTCATCCATTATTGCCTAGATGGTTATTAGAGTGTTCCAATAACTGGCTTAAAAAAATCTACATATTGGAAAAGACTCCTTTTAAAAATCCTTATTTGTCCCTTTGAGACACCCATATTAAATCATAAAATTATTAACTTAAATTAGTGATTTCTATTAGTTACTCCTATTAAACTAAGAGTTCCTCTTCCTAGGGTCCTACCACTCACATATCCCACCAACACTAGCAAGTAGAGGCAAAGAAACAAAAACAAAAACAAAAACCCCCAAAACAAAAAACAAGTGCCTTTACTGGTGTTTGAGAAGAGGTACTGATATGGTTCGTCATGCTCTAATGACAAGATTTAATTTAAAAATACCTGCTACTGTCAGTAATGTGTAGTCACATATTTTGGGTAAACATTTGTATAATATATATGGACATACACAGATTCCAAGGTTTCTTAAAATAACTAAGTATGTCAGAATGGTTGTGACTTTTCTCTGGTGAATATCTATTAGAAATCTGCTCCTCTGAGATATTTTATCTGACTCTCAAAAAGGCCCTACTCTTTCTGCTTTTTTCTGTAGTTTCGAATGGATGTTCTCTTACCTACCACTTAGTCCTTGTACCATGGGCTGCTGCTTCTCTGAGTTTTAATGTCGGCACATGTATAATTGTAGGGCAGGCCTTCTGTATAATCTAAGTTCATTCTAATCAGAGCTACAGGTTTCCTTCAGCTCTGCGGTGAAAAGAGAATATTCAAAGTCAGAAAGAAATTAGGAGCTTTGTTAAAAGGTGCTTTAAACAGCCCATGTTCCCCCACGCCCTCAAAGAAAGTTACAAATCAAGAGAGCACAATTGGTAGCTACATTATCAAAGCCCTTCTGATAATGCTACCATTTAAATTGGATAATATTGTTTAATGGGCTTTTTAAAAGCAGCCATCCTTCGGATCTGACACTCCAGCATGATTATCTTCCATTCCCATTTAAGATTACAACAGTCCGGTGATAATTATAACATCCATTTCCATCTGGAGTTCAAGGGACTCATACATGTGAATATGGAGAGAGAGTTGAGCAGCTTCTGTTCATAAAGTGGACACTAATTTGATATTTGTGACACCTGCCATTCTATTTTCCATTCCTATCGCCTACATGAAATATCTTTTCCCCAGGTCTTTCTTGCCACCAGCAAGTTGTGGTAGTTTTCTATGTGTTGGCTTCATGATATTGCTTTTATGGACACTAAAAATAGAAAAATAGAAAAATTATTGTCACCCAAATTTTATTTTCTGTAAACTGAGATAATTTCAAAGGTGCAGTTTGCTCATTTTTAGTTGTTATTTAACAGAACTTCCATTGTCTTAGCATTAAACTCACATATTTCCTAATTTCTCTCAATTTCTCCTGAAGAAGCAAGGATTTTTATTACTAGTGTTTTTTTTTGTTTTTTTTTTTTTTTTTTTTTAAATCTAAGACCAAAGAAAGTGCTTGGTACATATTAGGGCTTTAAAATTTGTTAAAGCATTATTGAACAGATGATTTTAACAAATATTTACATTATCATCAGAGTTCTTATTTAGATCAGCTGCTAAAAAGTGGAGAATTATTAGGGTGAGGCATATGAAGGTACATTTTTGTAGGTAGAAAAGAGCCGAGCATCAGCAATTTCATATGGTTCAACTTAATACTTTCTGTCTTTTAAAAAAATTATCTCAGCACCCAACGTGGGGCTCAAACTCACAACCCTGAGATAAAGAGTCCCACGGTCTATGGACCGAGCCTGGCAGGTGCCCCCATCTCAGTTCTTTCTAATACAATAGTCTTATCCCTCATGTATTTTCTTGATAAATGAGAGTGTGTGTGTGTGTGTGTGTGTGTGTGTGTGTGTGTGTGTGTGTTTAATGGAATTAAGCAATTCTTTCTTAGCTATAGTAGTACATTGAGAAAAGCCGAAGTGGTGGGACAAAGCTTTTGGCTGGTAAGTGTGACTTTTATTGATTAATTGTGTGTATTTTATCAGCCATGAAATGGGAAATTTGGCATGTGCTCACACAAAGTTTCTACTTCGACAATTACAGACCAAGCTATTTTACAGATTCTTTCTTGTGTATATTAGGTGTGGATTTGGTATCGCAGACACTTTTCTTTCTGGTGAGACTCTTCACAGGTCACATGGAATTTCCCTCCACTAGAAAAACCTGTCTTGGACATTGGGTTGGGTTGGGTTGGGTGTGTCATTCTGTCAAATCTACATCCTATAGGATTGCCTACCTGTCCCTGTTTTGGATTGTTGGCATTCTTCTTTTTGAGTTTATTGAGGAAATTAGCAGATTAATGGCAAGAACCATAACCTACTCTACATACCAGACATTTAGAAAAGCAAGACAAACTGTGACAAGATCTGCAGTAATGGTTTAAATATGATGTGTCATGAATATCAGCACCAATTCATAAAAGGCATTTTCAAAACGTGTTTTAAATTGTATTACACATTTTTTTTTATCCTACAATGGCTTTGAGATGGACTGATCATGCTTAGAAATTTTTGAAATTTGGATTTATTAGGTTCTTATCATATGCCTCCCCATGAACTCACACTTTGAAACTAGTGTGGCTTTCTCACACATTCTATATTTTGGATAATAATCACCTAAATACTAATCACCTAAAAGGGGCCAAATGTTATCAGAGTATTAAATTTGAAATTCATTTTGTGTTTGCCTCATGTTTTTTTCTTTATAAATTACACATACTGATTGTCTTTTATTCTTTATTTCTATAGTGAAATAATTTAAACTCTTAATTTTGATTAGCATTAACCCTGTTACTAACTTCCGTTTTAGTGGTGAAAACCATTAGGGTGAAAATGGAAACTCAGTAAATTTCCCTCAGTGAAGACTGAATCTTAGTGTGATAATCCAATCAGCCTAGTGAGGCTGTGATGTCCTCCAAATATACAAAACATAGGATGAGATAATTGAATTTGGCCTCTGGAGTTCTAAGAAGACCACAGTCTGGGGATGCATGGTGTCCTCAAAGGATTAGGACAAGATTGCTACTCATATAATTCAAATAATTCCCATTTTTGAAGCCCCATCCAAACTTTTGCATTAGAATCCCAGAAACAGCACTCTTTGGGTAGTGAAACATACATTCCTCCCTCCTTTATCTGTTTTTAAAGTAGGTACAATACGGAATGGGTGATTGTGCCATTTTACATTATTTCTTTTACATTACAATGGGAGCTTCCTAACTAAATTTTGAGTTTCTGGCAAACATTGTGAAATAGCCAAGATATTAAACTCTCCTAGGTTAAGAGTTGGACTGACCTCCCCCCCGCAACCATAGTGGGGCTTTTGAGGAGCTATAATTGGGGTTCATGAGATGCCATCAGAAAATCCCTGTTAACATTTCGTTCATTGCAGAAGTCTTTTGGGGGGAACAAATAGGAATATTTTAGAGTTGTAAAATGAACGTTAGAAACTAAACTTTCATTTTCTTTGATTACATGATGGAAAGGGTTAAAATTTTCTATGTAGATCACTGAAGTTTTATTATATAAGATGACCTTAGGAACTGTCATCTCCCTTGAATTTATACAAAGAATTCAAAGTAAAGGTTTTCTAGGTTACACTTCTTTTTTCAACCCTTTGTCCTGTCAGCTCAGTCCTTGATATCTTCATCTGCCGACATGCCCAGATGTGCAGTGAATGTTGATTTGAGCTGGCCCCTCAACCCCTCCCTGCTGGTGTCATTAAAACCAGGGAGGCAGCGGCTCCCCTGGCATCTTTGGCACGGCTTGGCTTTACACTGCGGACTAAATTATTGATGAAGAGCACTTCTGTCGCAGTGTGTTTTACCCACCTTTAAATGAAACAGTGAGGATTGAGCTGTCACTGCCTCCTCACTCCCTGCAACTTCTACATGACATTTATGATGTGGTTCAGATTGCACCGAAGCAATTAATTTCCAGTGGAGTCTGCACTAAGAATGAAGATCCCTGACAATTACCGAGGGCTGGTTTCTCAATGAGCATACGACACACTCATCAATACTGTACACAAAAGGAAAACATCAAAATTTATGTAAAAGGGTCTCTGGGATTTGTGAACCTTTCCTCCTCCTCAAATGGAGTTCTGGATTCCAGGACTTTGTTTTCATATTGTGCATTTGGTCCGTCTCTCTGTATTTCTCTGAAAGGATGGGTGGACTTACCTTATCTGCACATATTTTACAGATGCCTGCCAACATTTTTCTACAGTTTTGTTGGCCACATTATATATTTATTCTAGATGAAGCTTTTGTCTGCTTGATTTTGCCAGTAAAATATTATTCGATATTTGCATTCAGTTCCTCAAATGATTCTGTTACAGTAGTATATTTTTCAATTCATCCAATGAATGAAATAAGCAGCATATGTATGCGTATATGTGTGCCTCTGCACCTGTATATGTATACTTAAATATGTATATGCATATGTGTGTTGTGTGTGTATATATGTATTTATATGCATATTTTTCATAGAATACAAAAAATATTTCAGGTATATAAAATCTAATATTTGATCAGTTATCATAAAACATATTTTTTTACCTTTTTCTTTTTAAAAACCATAAAAACTCAATTCAGATTAGCTTGGGGAAAAGACAGTCTTCATTATATAATATTTAAAAGACATGCAGTTTTAGTATTTTTGAGAATATGTGTTAACATCAACCTAGGCTATTCATATCATTTAAAAATTCTTAAAATGATCATATATACATATAAAGATATTTGTAATTAGCCTATCCTTCTGAAGGCGTGGATAGCAATTATTTTCTTAAATATGTATTTTTCCTGGATTCCTGTTTGCAATATTAATTTTTCTAGTCAACTTTTTCCTCATAGGTAGACTTCTGTTTTGTCTAAACTGCCTGATACTCAGCAAGAGAGTATTGTAAATTAATGAGTTTTTAATTTTTGATTTAGTTCTCATTTAAATACTAGTGCTTTAGAGCCCGTGGTTCACATGTTAACAGGCAAAATAGAGTCATTCTGTGCAAAGGTGCTTCTGGGACGCAGCTGCATCCATCTTTATTGCAAAGGAACCATTTAGCGAGGTATTAAGGAGTGGGGATTTCCGGTGGTAAATTCAGATGAGATCCAGGAAGTAGTTTGTGCACTAGGAGATTGCAGTTTGACAGGATATATATTGTATCCATCAGATAATTGAGGACTCCCAGAAGCAACATCACAACCTTGGTGAAAATCAAAAGGCATTTTATGTGCCATTATTCACCTTCATGTACTCTCTGTCGTCAGTCCATACCCACTTTCAATATTTGTCTGGTGAGGTGGACCAAAGAATGGGAGAGTACTTATTGTATTTGTCTTACCCAAATTTGATGTTTTCTAGCCTTGTTGAAATCAAGATAAATATTAAATGAAGGATTTCTCCTTAGTATTCAGAACTTGAAGAATTTTGGAATTCTTTAAGATAGCTTATTGTACTAAGTCACCCTTTCTGTACTTCAAGAGGTGATTGTTCAACAGGATAAGTTTCAGGAAAGAAACCCCATCTTAGTATTACCTCATCTTGCCTCAAATACTGTGTACATTCTGTACATATGTACACTGAAGAAAAAAATAGTCTATTTTGGCCTATCATTTGGTCTAAAGTGATACAGTCCCCCGACCTCCCCCTCCCCCCAAAAAAGGAAGAAAAAGAAAAGAAAAGAAAAGAAAAGAAAAGAAAAGAAAAGAAAGAAGGAAGAATGAAATCTCTCATTGCTTTCGATCATGATGTTTTGGGCACACTTGTGCATGCACTCATACACATACATACACAAATAAGTTGATAATGGCAATGCTATTTGGAGATATTTTTTAAGTAAACCATGCCCTTTTTGACCTAAGAGACATATGAGAAGACTTTGGGATATCAGAAAAGAAAATTCTAATTATTATCTATCTAAAAAATATTAATGATGATCCATTTTTGAGTACTTATTCTACTTCCCAGGCACCCTGCAACGATGTGATCTCCTTGACTCCTCACAACAGATTTTTGAGGCACTCTTATCTTTCTCATTTGATAGGTGAGGACAGAGTGTGTGCATAATTTGTTTAAGGCCAAAGAGCCAACTGGTAGCAAAGTCAAGACTCTATCTTAGGTCTTCCTTACATCAAAGTCCAACTACTTTTTTTTAATGTTTATTTATTTTTGATAGAGAGAGAGAAAGAGAGAGAGGGTGGGGGAGGGACAGAAAGAGGGGGAGACAGAGGATCTGAAGCAGGCTCTGTGCTAACAGAGCCTGATGTGGAGCTTGAACTCACCAACTGTGATCATGACCTGAGCCATTGTCAGACACTTAACCGACTGAGCCACCCAGGTGTCCCAAAGTCCAACTTCTTATTGGTCTACTATATTAGATTTTTTGGTGGGTATACTTCCCTCTGTTTTGTATGATTCCTCATTTCTAAAACTATTTTTACTTGTGCAGAAAAAAAGTGGTGAGCTAATTCAGTCACTGGTTCTATTTTTTGTCTTTTTAGTTGGAATCCGGAATCTGGGGCACATTCTTTGCCTTTTTCATGTAATACAGATAGTGGTGACATTTGCCTACTACTAATGGATAGATGAAAACATGATCAACTGACACTTGTAAAACTTACAGTTTATGCTTCAGAGTGTTTGTTAGAGGTTTTTTTTTTTTTTAATGTGAAGAAAATAGTAGACTTAGGTTATGCGATTAGTTATATAAAACGTTTATACTGAAAGCCCACCATTATTTAATATTCAGCTAATTTAAAAATCATTATTTGACTGTACATCCTCAAGTCATAGACCTATGAGACTTTCCTCTTCATTTAATAATTCCTGCCACCCACATTGTATATCTTTGGCTCACTTATTCTGGGTCTTTGAGTCAGATAGCTGAGATTTTTCTAAAATAATGTTCCTGGGGTCTTCCAGAATCACCAGTAAATCACTTTCAGACTGTTGTGTTTCTCTTGGCCTATAGCTGTTGAGTTGTGAATGGAATGCTTTCTCACTGAATTGAAGTTGTTAATATGAAGAATAAGCAAATGAATTTACCTGTTCTAGGTTGAATACCTGGCTGAATATTTTCAGAAATGGTGTATTATCTGGAAAAACAAAACTTTCTTAGATAAAGTAGTACATAGTAGAAAGAGATGGAATAGGAGTTTAAAGACCCGAGTTCACATTAAAGATACTCTACTTAACCTCTATAGTCCTGAGCAAGTCACTTAACATATGAAATTGTTTTACCATCTATAAAATGAGGATAATTTCACCTGATATTACCACTTCTCAGGTTATTAGAGTTTTAATAGCTAAGATATGGAAACAACTTAAATATCAATTAATGAATGGATAAAAGATTGTGATATATATATGTGTGTGTGTATATATATATATATATATATATACATATATATATACCTATGTGTATATATATGTGTATATACACATATATATGTGTATATATATACACAGGTGTATATGTATATATATACACAAGTGTATATATATATATATACACACACATATATATGTATATGAATATATATATATATTCAATGGAATATTATTCAGCCATGAAAATAAGTGAAATCTTGCTATTTGTGCCAACATGGCATTATGCTAAAAGAAATAGAAAGAGAAAGAAAAGCACTGTATGATTTATCTTATATGTGGAACCAAAAAACCCCCAAACAAACCAAAAACCAAAACCAAACAGAACAAAAGACCCACTAAGCTCTTAGACACAGAGAACAGATTGGAGTAGGAGAACAGAGGTGGGGGATGAGGGTGGAGAAATGGGTGAAGGGAATCTAAAGAGAAAAAAAAAGTGAATATTTTACATTAAATTAGAGACGTTGAATTGGAATTGAAACTTATGGAGTTCAGAAAACCTTTTATGAGCTAATTTCCAACAATAATAAGAAACTAAACATCTAGGTTAAAATGTCCTTTTTCTACATATAAGAATAAAAATAAAAGTAAATTAACCCGTATAAGTGCAGCTATAATTAAAGGAAAGAAAGTAATAGAAAGATAAGGAAAGATGTCAGATCATCTTAGTTCTAGTGTATATAGTGCTTTCACTGTGTGTTTCATCAGTTTAAAATGATTTAACCTCATTTATCTGTAATTCCTTTAGGGGAAAAAAAAGAGATGATGTATGTGGAAAACATTTTCAATGGTAAGCTGCTAGACAAATATAAAGGCACCATTGCTAGAACTTTTCATATGTGTTCCACATGATAGATCCATCTAAAATATCAAACTCAAAGAAGGAGGATTGTGTTCCGCGTCATAACAAAAAATTCAAATTACCTTGACTCGGGCAAGATTGAATTTGTAAAAAAGAAGGGCAGAGGTTGCAGTCTAGGGTGGACACAGTGTTTCTATTCTGTCTTCAGGGATTCCATATCTGTCTTTTCTGCTCTGCCATCCTACCTCATGGCTTCAATCCTCAGTATCACCTTAGAGCCCCAAATTGACTATTAGAGGTCTAGTAATTGCACCTGTATTCTCGGCTAGGCTTTGGAAGATGAGGGGGGCAGGACCAAAAGGACGAAAAAGGGCTAGGGGAAGGCCAAATACAGCTCTTCATAAAGAATTTTCCTAGAGCACCACCCCATGATTGCTACCTTTAATTCATCGTGAGGCTGGGAAATGTTTTCTTCTAGCTGGGTAGATTCCTGGAGTCCTCTTGGTGAATGAGAAGGAGATCATGGATATTGTAGGCAACCAGTGACCCATGCTATGTGACTATATGTGATTTGGATTATCTCCATGGTAGAATATGTTTGACATAATGATGGTGATTTTTAAAAAAATTCTCTATAATTTTAGTCTATTGAAATACCTTACCTCAAACATTTCCAACCTGGATATTTTTCAGCATAAATTCAGTAATGATAATTATAAAAATTAGCATTTGTAGGGGCACTTGAATGGCTCAGTTGGTTGTGTCCCGCTCTTGATCTCAGCTCAGGTCATGATCTCATGGTCCCTGCACTGACAGCACAGAACATGCTTGGAATTCTCTCTCTCCTTCTCTCTCTCTGCCCCTCCGTCACTCATGCTCACATTCTCTCTCTCTCTCTCTCTCTCAAAATAAATAAATAAACATAAAAAATTACCAGTTTGTAATTTTACTAAGGATACTTTGTCTAGAAAAATTAGATTTTTATTATGCTATCTTGGTGGTATTACAGTCATATCTGAATTAGGGCAACAAACATGCATTATGAAATAAGAATCACTTCCTCTTCAGTTCTCCAGAAAATGATGTAATTTTTTAAGAACCAATTGTAGCATGGGATATTTGGGTAGTTCCAGGATATTCCAGCATTTGAGGAGACATATGGTTTTTAGTAACCTTACCTGAGCTTATTTTCTCAAAAATGATTTCAGAAACCTTTAGAAACCCCACTAAATAAAATGAATCAATACAGGTAAATGAGCTAGTATACATAAAACACTTAGAACAGTGCTTAGCATAAAAGTAACTTCTCTGGGGGTGCCTGGGTGGCTCAGTCAGTTAAGCATGCAACTTTTGGTTTTGGCTCAAATCCTGATCTCATGGTTCGTGAGTTCACTATCAGTGCAGAGCCTGCTTGGGATTCTGTCTCTCTTCCCCCCGCCCCTGCCCCTACCCTGCTTGTGCTCTCTTTCTCTCAAAATAAATAAACTCTAAAAAAGTAACTTCTCCATAACAGTAGCTTTATATTGCATTATTTTTAGTGTTAAAATGGCGTTCATTAATAAATATATCAAGGCTTTTTGAAGAGAGAGTTAAAAAAAGATGGAGGGAAGTGCTTTCTCTTTCTAGGCCTCACAGGACAGAAACATATTGACCAATGTATACCCTATGTGATAATGAAGTTTCTAAAAGGAACATTCAATCCATTTCCCTTTGTCCCATTTTCCAAATTAAAAACAATTCAATATGCTTACTACATAGCAATATAATTATGTGATTTTTAGAGTGCAATTCTTGTAGCATGCATAATGGGCATTGCCATGTTTTCTGCTTGCCCAACACGAGAAGTTCTGTCTTCAGTGGGCTGAATTACTTATTCTTTTGTGTGAGTCTTGTCAGGCACAATCATACTTCCCAGTAAAGACACTGTAGGTCCAGTGTCTCTCCATTCTCAGTGAGTGAAGGTGTGGACACATATCTGAAGTGCCATTGATTGGATGTTCCAGCCTGAGATTTTGAATCTAGATGATGATATAAAGATGCTGAGTTTTTTGGGGGACTGACGATGGTGCTGGAGTAGAGTGAAGTCAAGTCTATACCACCCCTGTGCTGTGTCATTGGTGGTGTTCTCTGCTACCTATCCACCCACCTCCTATGGTTCCTATATATTTTCTCAGCTAATTCTCCAGTTGGTCCATCAATTACAGAAGGCCCTACTGATCCTCCCAAGAATTTATTTTCTGTTTATATTAGCCAAATCTGGCTTCACTTACTTGCAGCCGAGAACCTTGATTAGTTCAATATACACCAAAAGACTGAGAAAAAGAAATGCTAAAACATATATGGAACATGCGAAATGAGAGCTCCTTTTTGAGTAGACATAATTAAGGGAAATGGGGAAACATTAGAAGTAATAACACTGCATTAGTTTTTCTTTTGTTTTTCTGATTACATTCTTAGAAAATATGAATGGCACCCATAGCTTGGAAGTCCCTTGTCACTGAATTGCCTGGTATATTTATTAAAAGTGTCATTTTTCTCCAGTGAACTCAAGCAAACTCAAAAGGCCTATACCTATTTGTTTTATAAGTATTAGTGGTAAAATTGCCAAATAAACATCTCTCAATTTAGTGATAATTTGGCTAATGTTCATGGTATAGTTGTCTCTTTTCCCATGAGAAAGTGAAATGAGCTTTGGATCTGAATGTTGAACCTTCTATTAATGACAAATTTTTCTGGTCAGAATGGAGGCAAGTATTTCTTTTGTTATCCTGACTGATTTTTCCCTTGTGCTGCCTTTCCACAGGACAGCCAGGAGAGATTGCTATAGAACTAATTAATGTCTGATAGACAGATTGAACCAAATACCAGAGGAATTCAGAGAATTGTTTATTAGCTCTTATAAAATATAACCAAAGTCTAGAAACATGTAGATAGCATTATTGTGTGTAGATAGCAAATATGTGAGGTAATTTTCTTGCTTATTTGAGCGAAATTAGTCTATTTAAGAGAATTAATGTTACACTCTTTTCCAGGCTATCTCAATTACTTGATGTGTTGGTAGGTGCAGAGGTATGTGTGAAATATTTCCTGGGAAGGAAGCACTGTGCTTTCATAGACCTCTATTGTCTCTGAGTAAGCTACCACAGGGGAGAAATAAGGGTCATGTGTCATATATGCATAGCCAAAGTATAGAAGATTTATGACTTAGTGAATATGTAGATATAGTAGTGTTCTTGACCAATCTGGCAAGCTGTCCTTGAGTATGTCTGAGGTTTCGCATTAAAAAAAAACTACTTCAGAGAGAGAAAGAGACAAACAATTATATACCTGCTGTCTCTGAACAACGGGGTAGCATTCTCTGAATTCACAAACATAATGACTGCTCATCCTATTCTCTTGGGAGAGTGAGGTGGGAATTTCCATATTTTGTTTTCGAGGCACTTTCAAAGCCATTTACTGCTATAATTCATATACCATTGGATTAAGAGACGTATGTCTCTAATATCAGTAAGAGCCTATATGGTGGATTGCTGATTTAAGGAAAAGAAAAAATAGAGTAAAATAAAAAAAAAAAGAACTTAGGGTCTCATTTGTAATGAGTCTGTGTACTTCAAAGTGCAGAATGATAGGACAGAGCATCTATTTGCTGCATCCTTTACTGGGGACATAAATAATATATCTTACACTGATTGGCTGACTGGCTTGTGCTTATTATAATTCAAGTTTCTTTATGGCTTTATGCTGTTCTCAGGTCTCCCTGATTAGGAACAAGCTAGGGATGTTTTAGGATTTTCCATAAAGGTGCTTGATCCTGAAGAGCTAATAATTGATGCTAGAGGAATATTTTGCTAAGGAAGGAAAATGTGGAATGTTCTGGCAAGATATCCTTTTTTTATTACAGAAGTTGACCACATTTTGCCACCAGTACCTACTGTGTAGTAACTTTATTTCCTCACACTAGCATACTGCTCATTACAGTGCCTGTGGTATGATGCGACTGTAGCCTCTCACTCAGGCCATTATCTAACCTTCAGTCTGAACGGTAAATCTTCTGAAGTATGCATTGACTTCCACAGTGCTCTGCACTATCCTTAAATTGCGATTCTTGGAGACTGTCCATTTTCCAAACTCTAAGAATTCTTGGCAGCATAGGCAACGAAACTGAAAACTATTGGAGTCATTCCTGGCTCTCCCTCATCGCCCTCACATCCAGTCATTTTGCTTTATCCTTTTCATTTCACCTTCCGAGGCCTCACACATCCTACTGAGGGTTTCCATTCAGACATTGTTTCCATTTCTGTTCCCATTACTTGTCTGGATTACCACAACAGGCTCTTAATTGAATTCTCCTTACCTTTTTCTGTTGACTCTAAAGCATATCACCACTAGATTGAGCTTCTTAAAACATAGCTTTGCATCTATTGACTCATTGATGAAAACCCCATTTATTATAGCCCCAGATGTTCCAGGCTTTTCTCCAGCTCTCCCCCTCATGCCACTACTTTTGAGCCTAATTGGGATACTTGATTTTCTCTGAATAGTTTCTGTAATCTTCCACCTCTGTGTCTTCATCCATGTCGCTGCCTGACACTAGAGCATTCTTTCTCTTCATGGTTCTTCTTAAAAGTCTTATAAAGATGCCAGTTCCATGTAAATTGTAGTCTCTTTCATGAGGACTTCCTGATGACCATATCTGAAGACCATCTTTGCTTCCTTGGAATCCCTATCAATTTGTTACTGACAGTTCCGTGCCGTCTATCCCGCGTCAGAGGAATTTGTGTACTTGCTACCTTCCTTCCTCTATTGTGAGTTCTTTAAAGTCAAGGACTCCTTGTTCTTGTCTTTGTCTTCTCTTCATTTTCTAACTTGATGCATTTCATATCATAGGAGCTCAGATAGTCATTAAATAGAATTCTTGATGATGTGGGGAAAAATAACATTCTTTTTAAGTCATTTGACCTAATAGTAACATAACACTCTATGAGTACTTTGTTTATTTTATGAGAATAGATTTTCCATAGGTCCCATCAGGCAGAAGTATATGAAATGAAACAAAAAAAATATTAGAGTAAAGATACTGTTGCGGATTCAGTTTATATTACTTTGCATATACCTAATTGTACCCTTAGATGATCTCTATTTGTGACTCACAAACCAGAATATAACATGGTCTTTAAAATCATTTCGATCATTTTGATAGCAGAGACTTTGGTATGGAACTGTGTGAATTAAAAATGTTTTCTCACACATCACACACATTTTCCTCCTGTCTCTTGGAGGAAGAGTTGTTCCTGTGTCTTTCCACGATTAATGCCACCATCTGTGCATTTTTTTTAAACCTCATTCTTTTCTGTCTGTTCTGAGACGTACACCATAAACTCTTTCTTCTCTCACAAGTCTTTAAATTCTTCCCGTTTCCACTAACTGCTTCCTTTCAGCCAAAAAATGTGCCTGTATTCACTTACTTCAACCACAGTTTTTCCTAGCTACTATAATACTTTCTTTTTTCCCAGAACCACCAAACTCCCTGCAAACAAAGTCTACCCTGAGTTCTTCCATTTATCTGCTCTGTATCTATTCACTGTGTTGGGTTCTACATTATCTCCCCATTGGTAATGCTTTTGGAAAGATATCTCACTTTTTATATCTAGGCTTCTCTTTTCAGTTACAACTCAAATATTTGGTGTTATTTTGAGAAAACCAGCCGCATCTTTCTTGAAAACTCTTTTCCCTTCCAGAATACTACTTTCTCATGATCTTTTCCCTGCCTTTT